GGAAAGAGTTTCATTTCATCACAAAACTCAGTATGCTTGTTACTCTTTGAATAGGTTAAATCCAGGCTGACTAGTTATGCTTGGCTTTGTTCAGTTCACATTTTACAAGAAAAGCATTGCATTTTTAGGATTTTGACACACCGTAAAAACAGCTGAATGAACTGTTCGTCACTTTTAAACTGACCTGTTCTCAAAGTAAAGCAACTACTTGTGCACACAGATGTTACTTAAAACAATAATTGAAAACAAAAGAAAAAACAAGGCAGATCTTAAATTCTTTTCTTTATGTTACACAGTGATAACACCATTGAAAATACAATTTATAAATATATTAAACTCTGGCTTATTATCGGCAGTATCATCTGCGAATCCAATCAGCTCTTCTTTACCAACAAACTAAAATTGTGGCAGTCAGTTCTTTTCAAAATACTGCAGCATCAACAACTAACCTAAAGGTCTGAGATGTTAATATAATTCTTAAACTACTCTTAATCAGATTTGATTGAAAAGTAAAAGAGTAGGCAACTTTATTAGGGTCATTTTGTGGCTGCAAATAATTATTCACTCATATAATCAAGACTGGATCTCCACATTCACACGGAACAATTCAATCAGACTGAACAATGTAAAATCAACTAAATATTATTGTAGCTTGCATTTGGTGGGTTTGCTGGGAAAGGATGAAAAGAGATCGTGCTTGGGTTTGTGTCCAGAGCTTCTTCAGCCTCTGAAGAACTTCGAAAACACTGAGAAATCATCCTGCATGTCAGTAGAGGGGTTCAACCCACCTGAAAGATGCAGAAAATATATTTCTGAATGATTATTCAGGAAAAGCTAGAGCAAAGCACTGCAGAAGCTTGAGGAATATTTGGGAAAATATACAGATATTTTAAAATGTAAAATCTAAATGAGGATGTTTTCTTAAATGCTCTAAAATCTAAAAGGTCTATTTTAAATATTCTCCTTGTCTTTTACCTTTAGGACCATTCATTACATAGGACAGGACACTTAAAAAGTTGTCTAGAAACCACTAACCTGGCATGAGAGGACCAGACTGATCTTGCGGCCCATCTCGGCCACTTGGACCAGAGATGGTCACTGTAGTCTCTTCATTACCTTCACCATCTCTGACTGTTCGCCTTTCTTCTACAGTCTACACACACATACATTCAATCTGTATTATTGTAATTAAAATCAGGTATTTACCAAGCTTGTTAGACAACATCTGAATGCAAGATGTGTGGTATATTTTGAGCCTTGCTCTACAATATTACTATATTTTTGATCAGAATAACTTGAGAACAAAATGACACAGGATCACTCACTCCATCTGGTCTGACCACCTTGGTAACGCTGACAGACTTAAAAGTTGACCTTATCTTAGGCTGTGAAGGCGCTGGAGTCAAGATCTGATCCAGACCACCTGAAGACACCTGTGAGTCCAGATCTGAGTGGAACCAGAAGACAAAAGGCCTGGATGAATTATACACATTGTATCAACTGAATATCAGGCAAGAAATTAATGTATTCACTGAATTGTCAGCACAAAAATCATAGACAAAATGAAAAATAACCCACGCATTTCTTTGCAATTTCTTTTTTTTAACTCCTTCACATGAAGTCTGAAATTTCATAATGCAGTGATCCGTCATTCTTTTATTTGGAGTTGATTTTCAAGTGTCTGGATATCTAACGATTCATTAAGATATCCAAACTTCTTTAAGAATTACAAAAGTGTTACAAAAAACATTTGACCAAAAATGTTATTTGAGAACTGTTAACAGTCTGTACTAGGGGTGGAACGGTACACAGATGTCACGGTTCGGTACGTACCTCGGTTCGGGGGTCACGGTTCGATACGATTTCGGTACAACGGGGGGAAAAAAATCTACTATGCTCGGTTTCTTTTCATTTATTTTGAACAGACAGTAGTACAAATTAAAAAAATGTTCCACCTAGATGTGAAAATACTAAATATTATTACATTATGCTATATATATATAAAATCTGCAGTATACATACAAGGAATAAACTCTTGAAATATATTTGATTTAGTTAACAGATAAACAAGGGAAAAAACAGTGGGACAAGTAACGTAGCCTATATACGCTGAGTTTCAGTTCATTTTTGTGACACGCTTAATTTGTTCACAGAAAGGAAACTCAAATGGCAGAAAGCGACATCCTATTTGTTTTCTTTATTTTACAAAAGCACAATGTTTTGTTTTCATTGTGAGTGTACACAAAAGCAGACCTTTATACAGTGATGCATTAATAATACAGTAAGTGTTTAAAGTTGATTCTGCTGGTATAAGGAAACCGTCGAAGTGATTTCGCGCACACGCACACACACGCACACACGCACACCAGTTCCAGCATTGCTAACTTGACAGCGCAGTTGGTACTTTATCAAAATAAAATAGTGAACCAAACATCAGCGCGCCCGCCTCTGTGTCACCATTGGAACGCGACTGAAATACAAAGCCTATTCAGGATTCAGATATACGTTACACCGCAAATATGGAAATATTATGGAATATTTGGACTTGTGCCAAATGAGAGAGGTAGGATACACGAGCACAAAGCTCCATTTCGCAAACAGTTGAGTGCACAAGCCTTTAAAGTATACTCCTTTGTCAGTCTGTGAGATGCATTCAGAGTCAGCACATTGTCGCTGTCTAGTGGGCTTTGTTTTCAAGTGCGCAACTCACAGCATTCGCTGTTCTTCTGCTGGCGGCCGGTTATCAAACAGCGTTGCATTGCTGCGGGCTCCCGCTTCTGGATTGGGGGTGAATTGCCTGTATTCGATTGTAAGGCCTCATGCACCGAACCGAGATGTCCGTGCCGTGACGGTTCGGTACGAATACATGTATCGTTCCACCCCTAGTCTGTACATACATTTAAATCATAGGGGGAAAAAAGCAAAATGCATTACCTCCATCCTCTTTTTTCTCTACCTCTTTTGGTCTTAATAGGCCATCTTTCCAAAAATCATGAAACTAAAAATAAAATAAAGACAATCAGGTGAGAACCCAGCATGGCAAGACTCTAAAGCACTGAATCGGTGAATTGGTTTACCTTTGAGAAGGGTCTCCACTGAGGAAAGTGGCTGCTGGGATCCTGTGGAGAAGAAGAATCCCTGTCCTTTGGTGCCCCAGAGGGGGGAGGGAGGGCTGGTGTGTCGGGTGAACTGTCAGGAGACTTCAACATGAAATCTCTAATCGGGTTACTACTTCCTGCCCGACCCCTGCCTTTCTCTGCACCTTCCTGAGGCGGAGCTTCTACTGGTGGGGCACCTGTTGGGAAGGAGAAGAGCAGGAGGAGATAGTAACATATACTTAAAATGCATCTAATAAGCTTACATCATCTAAATTAAGATAAACAACAATCTTGGAAGTTGAAGAAATACTTTGGACAAGTTAAATAAAAAAAATACAAATAATTGCAACTTGTGGAACAGAGCATACAAATGTACCCCTGTGTCCAAAGCCATGGTGCTCATCAAAGCGGCCTAGACCGGCAAAGATCTCCTCCATGTCCCTGAAGATCTGGCCGAACAGCTCAGGTTCCTCGAAGCGCATCCCACCAGGCCCAAAACTGAAACCAAATCTAAAGGCATCATCAAACGGGTCCCTACGGGGCCTATTAAAGTAATCGTGGTGAAATCCATTGTCATCGTCCTCGTCTTCATCATCTTCATGAATCATACCATCAAAGAAGGGGTCCCTGATCAAAACACATTTAAATTAGCAAACTGCTCAGCACTACACAATGTCACTGTATTGTATTTATCAGGAAAAATGAAGGGAAAATAAATACACTTTAGACCAACTAGGCCTACATTTATTTTTAGAACTAATAGAACTTTTACTTCTAATAACGGGTTAATAAAAAAAAAAAAAACTATTCTGAGGTTCGATTTCTCATTCTTCATTACTGTTATTTTTCACATTCTAGAATAATAATAATCAAAATATGAAGCCCACTGTTATTTATGCCCTGATGTGTCAAAGTAAAACCGAAAGAGAGCATGTACTGCTCCATATGGCTTCCCATATAATAGCAATCTGTAAATGATTCTGATGAATAAAACTACACCAATGAATGCATTATCAAATCATTCAGAACTGTACTGACAATTACAAATTCTTTAAGATATCACAATGCTCTATAAAAGTTTATATGGTTATAAAATCACATTCAGTAAGCATTTACTTTCATTGGCACCAATAGAGAAACCTCCACAAGAACAAAATGAAGAGAAATATTTAGAAGTATTTAAGTTTATAACACTATACACAATATTATAACCTATACAGTGTATCTTGTCAATTACACAAGATCAACACTTATATTAAAGTGTTATTTAGTCTAACAGCTGCTGCTGTCAGGGGACATTTAAACTTTAAACTGTTAAAGACAGCCTCACCTGCGGCCATCACCACGATAATGACCACCGGGAACCCCGAAAAACCCACGAAACAGATCAAAAACACTCATTTAAGGACGCAGAATCCAGTGATCCTTCACCATAACAAACACGGTTGCATCAGAGATCCAGCGCAGGAAGGACAGCGAGGAAACCTACGAGATCTTTCCACTTGCTTCAGAAAATCATTTCAAAATAAAAGTCCGTCGTAATTGGCAATCATGTGGAATACAATTTTTAACTTGCATTTTAAAATCAATAGTTACTACTGATACTAGACTATCAGCAGTTGGAAAATAACAGACATTTTCATCAACATGAGAATTTTATAATGAATGTATATGAAAGCTTTACATTAGGTGTTGTAAAAAGAATCGAACGCTGATATTTAAAAAAAAAAAAAAGGTTTACTTACAAAATCATGGTAACACGATGTGATCATTTAAAGGGGTCATATGATGCGAAATCCAAAGATTTTTCCTTTCTCTTTGGAGTGTTACAAGCTCTTGGTGCATAAAGAAAATCTGTAAAGTTGCAAAGACTAAAGTCTCAAATCCAAACAGATATTCTTTATAAAAGTTAAGAGTTAACCACGCCTACCTAAAACGGCTCGTTCTAACACCCCCCCACATGTGTACGTCACGATGTGGGAAGATTTGCATAACGCGCCCAAATGTTCACGCAAAGAAAGAAGGTGTAACTTTTATTCTCGCTGTAGTATTGTTGTTGCCGCCGCCATGTCGTGAAGGCGCTGTGTGTTTCGTTGTGAAAGCGAAACTACTTTGTTTGGCCTTCCAAAAGAGGACGATATCCGCTTCGTCATGCCTGGAGCTGATCCGTGCTGGTCGCTGAGGAAATACATCAACTTCGCTGTGGATCACCGGATCGGCTTTCACCGTGGACGAAGCGGAGTCCAGCCCAGGGTCATCACATGTGGTTGCCGCAAGCCCGCCGGACGCTCCTTCGTCGAATCCGCCGGCCGAACCGTTCTCTAGCCCGCCGCCGCTCACTCTAGTCTGCCGGCCGTTCCTCACTCTAGCCCAACGGCCTCCGCTCACTCTAGCCCGCCGTGTTCTCGTCACTCCGGCCGGGACACGGCATCACAGTATGGTAGGGGTGTAACATTTCCGTCACACGCTTGAGGTATTCGGCCAATCACAATGCACTGGATAGCTGGCCAATCACAGCACACCGATGAGCTTTGTAAAAATTGACACGTTTCAGAAATGCAGGGCATAGGGGAGAAATTAATAATGTACAGTATGTGGAAAATAATGTTTTTTTTTTACCTTAAACCGCATAACCACATTTCATTACACCAAATACACAAAATAATGTTCTTTTTAGCAACATCATATGACCCGTTTATATTAATATTCTGGCCACTAGAGGGTGCACTTACAATGCTAAACTATTAACAACCGGCCTATGGCTGATATTGGTCTATTATAACGTGTGTGATTGATTGTTTGTTAGGAGGAAGGTTCAACAATCACGACGCCCAACTCTGGGAAGCACCTTGAGTTCTGAGGAAGAGGAGAGTTACTCCGACTCAAAAAGCATCACGTCTATTCTCACTGAAACGCCACTTCAGACCACCAACTGTTAAAGCCTGAATGAGAGAGGGGAAAAATGTGTTTTTGCACACATTTGATTTGAGTTTTCTAGTAAATGTAAAAATAACAGAAGAGACATGAAGGATACAAATGGTGTGGCATCAACACAGTCTGGAAAAAAAGCATTTTTGGAGGGCTGGTGTTTTCAACAAAAACTGTTTTTACAGTGGTTGATGAGGTAGACGGGGTTGAAGGCCTAGTAAAGCAGTCAGTGTGAAGATTTGTCAACCAAAAGCTCCTTTAGTATTGTTTTGCTAAAACTGGTTAATTCTGAAGCAAAATTGTTTGTTCTTACTCTGTTTATGAGTGTCGTTTATTTTAGGAAGACTCGCAGTAATTATTATTTTTTCTATGTTATGGTTTTTGACATCCTTAATCATATTACCGAAATTAAAAATCAATGAAGGATTTTATCTTTATACATGAATGACATGCAATGTCATTTATAAAGGTGGAATTTGACAGATTTTACTTTAACTTTAAAATTATTTTGAATCCTTAAAATGATAAATGAAACACTGTGGTAAGTGTTCTCCTTATCTTTAATGTTACGCACTAGTGCAAATTACAATGAAGGATATTTAGAAGGCTTCTTTTTGTGTTGCTTTAATTTGAGAATTAAACTTGCACTATGAATGACACCTTTTGTGCCAAGACAGAAAAAAGAAAAAAATATTTTGATGTAATGGCATTGAAATATTTGCCTTCAATTTTCATACATTTAGAAAGCTAATAAAACATAAGCTGCTTTTTTGATCATTTAACCAGAGACCTATATGTGCTGTACTGTATATTCAGATTTATCACAATGTATTTACCTCTCATATAATAATTTGTAACTCTTAAAGATGTGATTTGAAACACAATTGCATAATACACTGTACAATATTAGATGTGTATATACTGTCCCGTATTTAAAGTTTATTCTTCCACTACACATTAAAAGTAACGTTTGTCACATTACTTTGATGTGTTTTCATTTTACTGCTAAATTTTCTAGTAATCCTGCATCTCTCCTTTGTCGGTTATTTCTCAGCTTCAGTCAGTGTCATGTAAACACTATTCAGCATTTTTGTTTTTACCATAAACTGCAAACATTTTTATTCATCATAGATTGTAATATGGGTTTAGCCTTAAAGTAAACCATTTTTTTTTATCATACAGAATTGCAGTTATTGGTGTAGAGAAATGTTTTCCCCATTAATGCTTCAAAAAATTAAACATCTGAGCTCACTTTTAGTACAGCTCAATAAATTGTAAACTGCTTGTACATGTGTATGGATAAGCGCTATATATGAAGAAAAAGGCCAGTGTTTTCAACTCTAAAATATTAGACTGCAGAGACCAAGTAATAAAGAACAAGAATGTTATTTGCTCAAATCAAGACCTTTATTGCTTTTCTTTAAAAGTCTAATTGTAAAAGTATATTCAGTTAATGCTTATTGTCTATTCATTGTTGTTCACTCATATAGACATTCTAGACATTAAAATGGCAAGTATTTTTCAATAAATAAATCATTTCATCATACACACAGTACGAGATTTGCTTGAGTCAGTGTGTGTACAGTACAGTGGAAAATATATCACTCAGCTACTTTAAAGCCTGATGTGCCACAAAGGTTATTTACGATGTTACATAAGATAATTCATTATTTCCATCCAAACAATGTTTGATAGGTCTATAAAAACAGAAAAATATCTCTTGATTTTTGTCAGTTTAAAAAAAAAAAAAAGTGTTATTAAATACACACATTTAGTAGTAGACAACAATGCAGTTACGCAGTTTGAACAAAACTGTTGAAAGCTCCATTCATGATTCCATAGCTTGTTTATTAATTTCTATCATTCAACAATCACTGGTTATCTGAAGAAAAGTTCCTGTACAATATTTTACATCCCTATAAGCCAGGCGTTATGTTTTACTTGTTATATTTCCACAGTTTATCTATATTGTCCATTTGTTTTTTGAATGTCTCATTTTGAATGTATCTTCCAAACTTTTATTTGCCGGATGTATAGACATCCTATACCAATCAGCAGGGATGTCTGCTGGTTTTAAATTGTATCTCTCTACAAATTTCATGTTGTACTTATCAAAGCTATACTTCCAAAAATCAGTGGCTTCAATAGAAGTGTCAGGCTGTGTCCTCCAGTCTGGATAGATCTGTCTGTATTCCTTGTATGGATACCACTGATATCCTGTGTCTTTACAGCGGAATGACAATTCACTAGCAACATTAGATGAGCATATGTCAGGAACTAGTTTATAGATTTCAATCCAACTGTAGTAACCAACGCCTTGCGGCCGATAGATTGAGACTAAATGATTCGTGTGCTTTCTTCGGCCAGCTTCACAAGGTGCACTGCAGAATGGACACTTCTTCCCGCAGCCAAACACTCTGCTGATGAGCACCTGTTGAGGTTTGTTCACTGAGAGTCTGGTTAGCTTATGTCTTACATTCTTTTCATCTCGTAGCTGATCTTCTAAGCATTTATGCATTTTTTCGATTGATGATTTAAAGCAATCTATAAACTCGGCAGGGTTCGAGTTGTTTAAAGCCAGACTTGCATTGAGTGCGTCACTTGGTATGACCAACTCTTTATTAAGACTTCTGCAGACATAGGTCACAAAACTGCTGATGTTGTTGCAGATGTCTGCCTTGCTCTCTGCACTTTCAACAGCTTCCTTGAGTTTGTTGATGATTACATTCAGATGTTTAATTTCCAACTTTGAAAGAGCCCCTTTCTTTGAAAAATGTTCAATGATCTTCTCTGAAATCCACTCAGTTACATATGTTTCATAGTGGTGTACATACTCCAGAATATTGTTGAAGTTATCATCCCAAAGTAACTTTTTTTTAAAAGCGAAAACTGGAAAAATGACCGTGTGCTAAAATCAAGGCCTCTTTCACCTGACAACATTTCATCCACAATGTCAGGTCCAAAACGTTTCTGGATGTATTCCATCACGGCAGGGGCGAAGCATTGCCAGACACACATCTCTGCTTTGTTCTGACACTGGTCTCGTTGGTGGTAGAGGTCTTTAAAGTCAGCTAGCCATTGGTCCTTATACTGTTCAAGAGATATCAAAGGGTCATTTCTCTGCATGTAGTCGTCATGCATTTTCTGGAAAGCTCTTGCTGCATTCCCGCAGATGTGGATCTTGAGAGCTGCTTCAATTTCAGGGTTTATCTCTGGTTCCTTGCAGCTTTCCAAATTCTTGTCAATGGAGCACAACAGTTCTTGTATGTCAGCACTATTGTAGTCTGATTTTGGTTCTGTCTTATTTGTAATGTTTCGCTCTGATATATTATTTTGTCACTTGCCAATTGTATTAACCTGTGTTTTTTATTCCTCTCTGCAGGAGTCTTTTTAAAAAATCTGTTTTTACAACTGCAAAAAAAAGGTCTAGTGCCACACTGATCTAGACTGGTGTTTTTTGATAGCATCTCACGTACTGCTCCACTTTTCATTTCCAAGTTATCGTGTAACAGTCTGTATGTCTCCTTCACCACATCTTGCCTTGGTAGAGCAGTAAAGGAATT